GGATCTTTATAATATTATAGTGAGGATCGATGAAATCACATTCCTTCCCTTGTTTGAATCAGGGTACTGTTATTGGCACAAGATTATTTGGTAATTTATGCCTGTAGTTCAACAATTGATTTTATGTAAAAGCACTCCAAATCTGCCATGGCCTGCTCTGTGTTTCTTCCCTATCTGATCCCACCTTTTACTCGACTGTCTTTATTCTAATGCTATTCTCATCAGACAGTAGCATTAGAATAATGCACCAGTCTTTTATCCTTCTTGCTTTTCTACAACACTTCAACTCAAATTACTTCCAAACTGGTTGAAACTTCCCCTCTCAGCACTAGTTAGCCTCCCCTGCAAAGTTTTGGTGTTGGCGCAGTTTATGGTCCCTCTGGCTCTAGAACAGATTCCAATGTACCTGCAGTCGTACCTCCATGCAACAAGCATAAGGGACTGTAAGTGGCAATCTGTGGAACATTTTTGAGCTCTTACTGTTTAGTCTACTGTCTCACTCTGTCTGTAAAACTTGAACACTTTTTTTATACCCTACGTTACTGGTTTTAGCATGGACCATAGCTTCAATCTACTCCACTCTCACCTTCACACAGAGGTCTGGAAGACATACAGCACTACAAAATGATACCATTAAAACTAACAAATTTAAGCATCAAGTAAAAGAACGTTATATTACAAACAAAAGCAGAATTTAAATGAAAATGTGTAGTCAGTTGTGGAATCAGATGATATTCATAAACTAATGGAACTTCTTGTTTTGGTTTGTTGTCTGGAGCCTTTGATTACACTTAAGCTTTGCAATCACCCACTAGAGGGAGTTGTGACCTGTTCGATCTTCCAAGTACCATCAAAGACATGAGGGCTATTTTAACATGACTCACTGAGTGGGAAACCTATGGGATCAAGTGAAATATTGACTTTACATTCCACTCATTTTGAGGAGTTTTACTTACTCGCCAGTCTGGAAATTAATGAAATTGAGCACAATATTAGTTTTACACCCTGCCCAATTCTGTTTTCTGTTGAAGTCAATGTGGTGAGGTGTAAAATCAGTATGGGTTTCACACTAGTGAGGTAGGTTAAAATCTCTGCATTGGAATATGAAACTGAGTTCAGTAGTGTTGGTTGCTTGGTCTGTATAGATGTGTTTTGGGGAGTAAAGTGGTGTCTGATGACTTTTACAGCAAATCATGGCAGAGATTCAGTATGTGGATGTACCCACCAGAGAAGGAGCAAAACTTGACCTACTCTTGGGAAATAAGGCAGGGCAGGTGACTGAGTTGTCCGTGGGGGAGCACTTTGGGGACAGTGATCATAATTCTATTTATTTCAAAATAATGATGGAAAAGGATAGACTGGATCTAAAAGTTAAAGTTCTAATTTGGAAGGCCAATTTTGAAGGTGTTAGGCAAGAACTTTCAAAAGTTGATTGGGGAAATATTCTCAGGTAAAGGGACGGCTAGGAAGTGGGAAGCCTTCAAAAATGAGATAACAGGAGTTCAGAGACAGTATGTTCCTGTTACAGTGAAAAGCAAGGCTGGTAGATGAAGGGAATGCTGGATAACCAGAGAAATTGAGATTTTGGTCAAGAAAAAGAAGGAAGCATTTGTCAGATACAGACAGATCGAGTGAATCCCTGGAAGAATCCCTAAAGGCAGTAGATGTATGCTTAAGAGGGAAATCAGGAGGACCAAAAGGGGGCATGAGATAACTTTGGCAAATAGGGTTAAGGAGAATCCAAAGGGATTCTACAAATACATTAAGGACAAAATGGTAACTAGGGAAAGAATAGGGCCCCTTAGAGATCAGCAAGGCTGCCTGTGTGTGGAACCACAGGAGATGGGGGAGATACTAAATGAGTATTTTACGTAAGTGTTTACTGTGGAGAAGGATATGATAGCTAGAGAACTTGGGGAAATAAATAGCAACATCTTGAAAAATGTCCATATTATAGATGAGGTGGTGCTGGACATCTTAAAACGCATAAAGGTGAATAAATCCCCAGGACCTGATCAAGTGTATCCTAGAACTTTGTGGGAAGCTCAGGAAGTGATTGCTGGGCCCCTTACTAATATATTTGTATCATCGATAGCCCCAGGCGAGGTGCTGGAAGACTGGAGGTTGGCTAAAGTGGTGCTACTATTTAAGAAAGGTGGGTAGGAAATGCCAGAGAACTATAGACCGGTGAGCCTGACATCAGTGGTGGGCAAGTTGTTGGAGAGAATCCTGAGGGACAAGATTTAATGTATTTGGAAATGCAAGGACTGATTAGGGATAGTCAACATGGCTTTGTGGGTGGGGAAATCGTGTCTCACTAACTTAATTGAGTTTTGTTTGAAGAAGTAATGAAGAGAATTGATGAGGGCAGAGCAGTGGGTGTGATCTATATGGTCTTTAGTAAGGCATTCAACGAGGTTCGGGTAGACTGATTAGCAAGGTTAGATCGCGTAGAATAGAGATAGAACTAGCCTTTTGGATACAGAACTGGCTCAAAGGTAAGAATTCAGAGGGTGGTAGTGGAGGGTTGCTTTTCAGACTGGAGACCTGTGACCAGAAGTGTGCCACAAAGTGCTGGGTGCACTGTTTTTTGTCATTTATACATATGATTTGGTTGTGAACATAGGAGATATGGTTAGTGAGTTTGCAGATAATGCCAAAATTGGTAGTAGACAGCGAAGAAGGTTATTTCAGAGTACAGTGGGACCTTGATCAGATGGGCCGGTGGGCCAAGGAATGGCAGATGAGTTTAATTTAGATAAATATGAAGTGCTGCATTTTGGAAAGGCAAATCATTGCAGAACATATACACTTAATGGTAAGGTCCTGGGTAGTGTTGCTGAACAAAGAGACCTTGGAGTGCAGGTTCATAGTTACTTGAAAGTAGAGTCGCAGGTAGACAGGATAGTGAAGAAGGTGTTTGGTATGCTGACCTTCATTAGTCAGTGCATTGAGTATAGGAGTTGAGAGGTCATGTTGCAGCAGTATAGGACATTGATTAGTCTGCTTTTAGAATACTGTATTCAATTCTGGTCTCACTGCTATAGGAAGCATGTTGTGAGACTTGAAAGGGTTCAGAAAAGATTTACAAGGATGTTGCCAGGGTTGGAGGGTTTGATCAATCGGGAGAGGCTGAATAGGCTGGGGTTTTTTCCCTGGAGCATCAGAGGCTAAGAGATGACCTTTGTAGAGGTTTACCAAAATCATGAGGGGCATGTGAATAGCCGAGGTCTTTTCCCAAGGGTAGGGAAGTCCAAAACTAGAGACCATGGATTTAAAGTGAGAGAGGAAAGATTTAAAAGGGACCTAAGGGGCAACTTTTTCATGCAGAGGGTGGTGCTTGTATGGAATGAGCTGCCAGAGGAAGTGGTGGAGGCTGGTACAATTACAACATCTAAAAGGCATCTGGATGGGTATATGAATAGGAAGGGTTTAGAGAAATATGGGCCAAATGCTGGCAAATGGGACTGGAATAATTTAGAATATCTGGTCAGCATGGACAAGTTGGACCAAAGGGTCTATTTCCATGCTGTACAGCTGTATGACTCTATGAGATCGTCTCAGTGGGGGCAGAGGGGCACTAGTGCATTTGCAGCTAATGTTCACCTAAAACATGCAGAACAAACAAATATTTGCTGATTGAGGTTGGTAGTACACCTGCAGTAGATGCCCTCTTTTAGCTTCCCACAACTGAACATGAGTTAAGCAGCCAGAAGGTTCTCTGACCAGTGCTATTTCAAGTGTTCATCAACTGTTTTGAAGTTATGCTGGTCAATTTCTTCTGCTGATTGCAACGATTTTACACATTTCACAGAAAGCATTTGGGGCTTTCTATACTTCTAAGCTGCAAGTATTTGAAGGACGGCGTATAGCTGATGCTGAAGAAACTTTTATGAATTTCAAGAGTTCTGAGTAAATCAGGACTTCAAGATATGGATGCACTAATTGGCATAACTCTTGGAAACATCAATACCAGGAGAATGAGCAGAGGCCATGTAAGGCAGGACAAGCTGCCCAAAGACCAAAGAAGAGGCAAGGAAGGCACATAGCTGTCAGTCGGGCATTCACTAACACCATTCGCAGCCAGCTTGCACCCTCTTATAGGGGAAGCACACTGTTGAGCAAGTGCTGAGAGTGTAGCAGGAAGTGAATCTGACCTGGGAAATAATGAGGAATGGCACAGTGTGGGAGACACTGAGCTGGGGACTCTGCAGAGGGTCCAGAGAACAGTTTGCAGGAGTACTGTGACATCTGGGGAGCCCCCTTTTATTCGCTGGCATCTATAATTATGGTAGCCCTACTCCGAGCTCCTGCTTGCAGCACTTAGGAGCTAGGCGGGTGCCTAGCACTGGCTGCACAGAGAAATCATTTTAATGAGCAGCACAGATTTTGAGTGCTATCTGCAATTCAATCATCTTGCACAGCATTGTTATCTCCATGCCCATTTCCAGGGATTGTTTTCAATTTAATTCCCTCCCCATATTTCAAATGCACAAGTGGGAAAATGTTTTTTAACAAACTATTTTCAGTAGGTAAAATATGACATTGTCACATGGAAAATAAGTATATGTTCTTGTAAAAAGCTGTACCTCAGAAGAAATGGTTCCCAGCCAATAACCAGTGGAAACAGATTTAGAAATTTGCGAATGTACCAGAAGGGACATAAGGAAAAGCCTTGTAGTTTGGGATATTCTGCTACATTGGGTGATGAAGACAGATTCAGTTGTAGCTCTCTAAAGGAAATTAGATAAATATTTGAAGGAGAAAAAAATTACAAAAAGAACGAGGCATGAGATTAAGTGGATTGTACTTTGAAAGAGCCAACGTAGCCAGAGGGGCCAAATGGTCTCCTTTACTGTACTATTCAATGATTCTATGAAAGTGACATTAACAGTAAATGACATAGGATGTAGTCAGAGATACTGATTTTTGTACGTCTAAGACACAGAAACATGGAAATTATTTTTTATATTTTATTTCAAAACTGGTATGTTTCTCAGCTTGAGTCTACAGTTTGTGGTTTCCTGAGCCATATATGAAAGCAAGAACATGGAAACACCTGAAGTGGACTTTCTGAGAGATCAAGGTAATTTTTACACTATAATGGAACACAGCTTAGAACAGTTATGTAAAATTCATTTCAGTGAGGTAATTCCTATGATATATGAATACATAGTGGTGCATTGCAAAGATGTAATCCATCCACTTTTTTATTTTACTTCATAATGAATCAATACTTCAAGTGTTATGTTATGTTATGTCGGTGTTGTAATGTGCCACTGCTTTGAAATGCATTTCTTTGGAATTTTACTTTTTATCATACGCCTTTTGCTGAGTTCTTAAATATCCTGTGGCTGAGGTCTCTGAGAAACTTAATGTTGGGGAAGAGCTAACTAGAAGAGTTAAGAGTCAGATGTGGCTATTGAATAGAAAGTGATACTCTCATTTTTCTATAAGCATTACATTGTTGATTAATGATTTGCCTTGTCTATTTAGTAGTCAAATAAAATTAGTTCTGTCCCTAGAATGCAACAAACTGTAAATTTAATACACTTTAGAGAAGCAACTTGTTTAATTTCAGTGATGAAGTACTTTCTTGCAAATTTACATCAATAAATCCTTCTACTTGTTTGACACCTTAGTTGGCAAATGTATCTAACCAGTGAGCCAAACACTTGAGGGGCCCTTTTTACATGCTGATTTCAAGTAGGGCCTCAATATGTGACCTAACGATGAAAGTTAGAGTGGATATCTGCTGGAAGTGTTTGTATTGAGCATTGAATAAGCACTGGACCTGGCTCAACTCCTGTTTCCCACATGTAAATCATTCCATCATTCTCATTGTTAAAGCTAGGCGCCAGAGATAAAAGTGGAATGTGCAAAATGAACTGTTTTAATGTAGAAGATATTTGATGAATTGCAAAAGAGTAAGAGCCAAATTCTTTGCACAGAAAGTTTGAATGCAATAATTTCTGTAATATCTTGTGTTATCCTTAAATAATGAAGTAAATTCCAGATGGGTACCGCTGAGCTAAATTCTTCACTGTTTGAAGGGTAAGTACCATAGTTAGTTACAATAGTACAGTTAAACTGTAAAAAAGGAATGTTGGTTGGGTAGGCACCTTCAGAATGCTTCTTACTGTTTGACAAGTCAGCTTTGATTAACTCATTAGATCTTCTGAAGCAAGGCTACAGATCTGTTAGTAGATTGTAATAAAATTATGTGTACTGTCAGTACTGGAACAAAAATGAAGTAAAAACAAGAGATGAAATTTTGACTTCTATGATGTTCAATTCTGTGTTCTATAGTTCAGCGATTAAATGCTGTGCTCAGTCAATATCAAGCAGAGCAGCTGCCCAGATCTTCTGGTGTTCAGGTATAGTCATTTTCAAAATTGTATTTTCTAGTTTTTCTTTTAAGCATTGTTTAATTTTTTAGGATATTTACGTTTTAAAATGTGCTGCTGCAGAATTTCTGTACCAGGTTTGGAATTGAACACCTTGTGTATTACACGATTCAAAATTGTCCCTGCTTTTGTGCCCTGTAATTGGCAAAACTTCAAATATTTGGTGGAAGATCTCTACCCCATTTATGGGACTGGGGGTGGGAGAGAAGGATGGTAAGAGAGATCGTGGGGGTTGTTGTGAGATTTTAGGGGTGTTGAGCGCTCCAAGACATCTCTTCCCTATGTGTAGCCTGCTGTTATCTCTGCAGGGTGCCAATTTCATCATATTTCCTCCTCCACCCACTCCCCCCCCCCCCTCCCCCAACACAGTAGAGAGAATGAGACATCAGTGAATTAATCTGTTAACGACAGAATTTCTTGAGGTAAAAAATGAGAAATTCTATACTTGTATCTGATCCTTTCACTAGAAAGTGTTGTCAACTAGTTTTTTTTTAACCTCCATTCAGTTTGCTGTCTTAAATGAACAAATGTCTTGTGACGTAAAATGCCAGGATGTTGCCAACCTAATTTTTGTTGCTGGACTAGGCATAATTAAATTTTGTTTTGCCTGTAACCCATTATTTGGCATTGAAAATAGTGTTGAAATTCAAAGACATGTTAAATGCAAACCATCTTACAAAGTGGCAAGCGTATCTGCCTAGCATAGAAGTTTAATGATTGTCTGTATTTTTTTCACTGTAAAGTATTGCTATAGTAATGGACCAAAAGATAAGGTTGGTTTTAAGTATTTACTTTCCAATGAAAGCTTCATCTCTACCAGAAACCAAGCATTAATTCATTTTCTAAACTGCTCGAATTTGAAGTAACAGATATTAATTGTTATCATTTGGAATGAGCCCTGTTCACATGATTATGTTCGAGCAGTAAATATTTGAATATAATCACAGTTTATTAAATTTGTGGAAGTGATTGTAGATTTTTAAATTTGTGAATCTCAAATAGTGGTCTGGAACAAGAAAGGAGAGCAGAGTGGGCTAGAAAAGGAGAGGAGATCAGGGAGAGGGCAAGAGAAGAGACTGGGGAGGGAAGTGAGGTGAAAGAGGTGGCAGGGGTAAGAGCGAGGAAAGCAGTGCAATGGGTGTATAGAATGCAAAGCAGGGGGAAGAGAGCAGAGAATGGGGCACAAGAGAAGTGGAGTGGGAAGGGAGACAGAAGCAAGAAAGAAGAGAGATGGTCTGGGTATGGAGTGGGCCGTGTGGAGGATCAAGGAGGAAGAGTGGGGTGTGGGAATTTGGCTGGAGGATGGGGGACTGAGCAGAATGAGAGGGAAAGTGCAGTTGGATCAAGTGCGGAGGAGGGGGAGTGGGAAGAAAGGGAAAAGGGAGCATGTGGGAGAAAGGAGGAGAGCAGTGGAGTGGTGAGGACTTTAACAATATACAATAATAAAAGTACAACACAAACAGTTATAGTAAAAAAACAAAAATACCACATGTTAGTTAATTATCATAATTATGACAACCTACTTAACTAATACTATTAACCCTACAATGACCAGTGTCATGATTTGTCCATTTTAAATAATCACACTTGTAACCAGGACTGTGAAAAATTCTGAAAAATTTCTCCTCCTCTTCATTGCTTCTGCGCTGATGAAGTTGTTGTCTTTTTTCTTTTGACTTTTTTCTTTTTAGTTGATTTCCAATGATTTCAGTTGAACTCTGTTGAGTGCCTTGAAGGAGATCAAACAATTGCAACATATGCTTGCAGCACTGTGCGTTTTAATTTGATGGTCATTGATTTCAGTTGGTCACTGCTAGATGTCACTGATGATTCTGGAGTGCAGATCATCATAAATAACTGTCATCAAATGTAGTTGAGCAGAGGATGCTGTCTAATTTTTCTGTTAGGGATGCTTTTGTGCCCTTTGAGGGTAGGAGGCACAAATTGGCAAGGCTAGATTGGGGAACCTTACTAAGCAGGTTGGCGACAGCAAGGCAATGGTGCATATTTAAAGAGCATGTGCAAGAATTACAACATTTACTCATTCCTGTCTAGTGCAAAAATAAAAGAAAGTAGGTGGCGCAACCATGGCTTATAAAATTAAACAGGGATAGGGTGACTCTACAGAAGTTTATAAAATCATGAGGGGCATGAGTAGGGTGAATAGTCAAGGTATTTTTCCCAGAGCAGGGGAGTCCAAAACCAGAGGGCATGGGTTTAAGATGAGAAGGGAAAGATTTAAATGGGATCTAAGGGGCAACCTTTTCACGCAGAATGCATGAAATGGAATGAGCTGCCAGAGGAAGTGTTGGAGGCTGGTACAATTACAACAGTTAAAAGGCATCTGGATGGGTATATAAATAGGAAGGGTTTAGAGGGATATGGGCCAAATGCTGGCAAATGGAACTAGATTAATTTAGGACATCTGGTCAACATGGACGAGTTGGACTGAAGGGTCTGTTTCTGTGCTGTACAGCTCTATGATTCTATGACTTGAGAATTCAGCAAAAGAGGACAAAAAGTTGATCAAGGAGGGGAAAATAGAGTATGAGAGTAAAATTGCAGGAACATTAAAACTCACTGTAAAAGCTCTATGAAGAGAAAAAGATTACTAAAGACAATTGCAGATCCTTTGCAGACAGAAGCTGTGGAAATTATAACAGGGAACAAGTAAATGGTAGGAGAATTGAACACATGCTTTGGTTCTGCCTTCATAAAATGGGGTACATATAATCTCCTAGAAATGTTAGGGGTTCATGGTTCCAGTAAGAAGGTGGAATTGAAGGAAATCGGCATTGGTAAGAAAATAGTGTTGGGGATGTTCTGGATTAAAGGCTGACAAATCAGTGATAATCTACATCCCAGAGCACCAAAGAAAATGGCACTGAAAATATTGGATGCATTGGTGGTCATCTTCCAAAATTCTATAGACGTTGGAGCTATTTCTACAGATTGGAGGGTGACCAATGCATTACTACAATTTAGAGAGAGAGAGCAAAAACAGAGAATTTGCAGATAGCCTAATGTCAGTGGTGGGGAAAATGCTGGTGTCCGTTATAAAAGATGTAATAACAGAAGATTTTGAAAACATTAATGGGACTCCACAAAAACCTGCAAGGATCTATGCAAGATAAATCATGTTTAACAAATCTCCTGTCGAATAAGTAAATGATAACGGTGGATAAGAGATTAGTAGGCAAAATTAAAGCACATGGGATAGGGTGTACTTAAATTGGCATGGATTGAGAATTGGTTGACAAGTAAGAAACAGAGAGTAGGAATAAATGGATCTTTTTCAGAGTGACAGGGAGTAACTCGTGGTGTACCATAAGGATCTGTGCATTTAAATGACCTGGATGAGGGAACCAAACATTTCCAGGTTTGGAGATGACAAAATACTGGACAGGATTGTGAGTTGTGAAGAGAATGCAAGGAAGCTTCAAGGTGACTTGGACAAGTTGAGTGAGTAGGCAAGCACATGGCAGATGCCGTACAATGTGCTAAATATGAAACGATACAAAAGCGCAAAAAACAGTAAGGAAGAGTAATATTTAAATTGTGATATATTGGGAAGTATGGTTCAACAAAAGAATTTGAGTGTCCCTATACACCAGTCAATGAAAGTAGACAGGCAGGTGCCGCAAGCAATTGGGAAGACAAATGGCATAATTGATCTTCATTATGAGAGGATTTGAGTTCAGAAGTAGGGATGGTTACTGCATTATACAGGGCGTTGGTGAGATCACACCTGGAGTATTGTATGCAATTTTGATCTCCCTATCTAAGAAAGGATATACTTGCCAGAGATGGAGTGCAGCAGAGTTTCACTAGGCTCCAGAGATGGCAGGACTGTCCTGTAATGAGCAATTGGTTTGATTAGGCCTGTATTCACTAGAATTTAGAAGGATGAGGGGGGATCTGATTGAAACCTATAAAATTCTAACACAGCTGGATAGAGAAGATGTAGAGGGAATATTTTGCCTGATTGGGGAGTCTAAAACCAGGGAACACAGTCAGGATAAGGTGTAGAGATGAGGAAGAATTTCTGTGGAATTCTTTACCACAAAAGGCTGTGAAGGCCAAGTCACTGAATATATTCAAGAGACAGTTGCATTTATTGTTTTCAAAGGCATCAAAGAGGATGGGAAGAATGCAGGAATATGGCGTTGACTTAGAGGATCAGCCATGATCATATTGAATGGCTGACTTAAACTCTTGGTTTCTATGTTCCTTTGTTTTCGCACCCTCATTTGTAGATTGTAGTTCAAATCACATGGTCTGACAGCATGTACAAATCACATCATCTGAAGATTAGGGGCCACATGAAATTTCATGTCAATTTTAATTTTCAAGCTGTATTAACAAGAATCTTCTGTTCAACCTTCAGAATTCCCATTTCTTTTGGGAGCAAACCCAACAATTTACTGGCCAATGCAAAAGTCCAGTTATACAAGCTGAGTTCGGGTGAAATAATGAAAATGGGTCATTCTTCTAAAAGTAAACGTATTGTATTTTAAACCAATGGCTGGAAATTGTAGAGCCTGAATGGGGAAGGCTCAATGAGAAATGTGTTTTGATAAATCAGTGCCATAATTGCAGTGTTTTCTCTCTTGATTCAGGTTCGGCATTTAGGTGAACATGATCCTCCAGCACCCTGGCTCATAGACAAGTGGTAAAGTTCATCTTGGTGTATTATGATCATAGAAACCCTACAGTGTGGAAGCAGGCCATTCGACCCAGCAAGTCCAAACCTACCCTCCAAAGGGCATCATCCCCAGACCCATCCCCTAACGTATCCCTATCACCCTGCATTTCCCATGGCTAATCCACCCAACCTACACATCCCTGTACGCTGTGGGCAATTTAGTATGGCCAATCTACCTAATCTGCACATCTTTGGACTGTGGGAAGGAAACCCACACAGACACAGGGAGAATGTGCAAACTCCACACAGACAGTTGCCCAAAGGTGGAATCAAACCTGGGTCCTTGGTGCTGTGAAGCGGCAGTGCTAACCACTGAGCCACTGTGCTATCCCCGAATGATAGTGATGTGGAACTTGTATTTCATGTTAGGAAAATATTGATGTCATAAAATATTTGGGAGTATTGCGTGCTCCTGCATCAGGCTTCTAGTTTTACACTTGTCTTCTAGTGAAAAATTAGGAAATCACCATGTCAGGCATTAGTTCAAAATTGCTAAGCGGCAAGTGTTATGGGTTTTCTACTTGATCAGTACTCCAGTTAAAAAAAAATCATTAAGACTAAGTTTCTTTCATGAATCTTCTGTTTTTTGAACGTAAGTAAGAAAAGTGATGCTTCCCACAACTTACCAGTTAAGGAATACTGTATGATGCAATGGAAATCTAAAGTGAAGGAGTACAAAACTCTCAAAGGAAGGAGGAAAATTGTGTTAAAGCTTTAATATTGGCATTGGTAACAAGCTTCTACTGGCAAACGATTAGAAACCATTAGCCCTTCTTTCCTACCATGAAGCTAATTTTAGATCCAGTTCGCCAGCAAGGGCTTTTGCTTTTTTTTCCCAATCAGGCATTTGGGACCTTGTCAAAAGCATTCCTAAAAATCCACATAAATCACCTCCATCACATTAATAATAGCTGACTTTCCAACAGAATGTAAACTCGTGCAAGTTTTACTGATGTTTAATGTTTGTAATTTCCATCATTTCTTTGGCAGCCTCATGGCACCTCTTATAGCAGAATATGACAAGCAGATACAGAAAATGAGTGAACAGTTGGATTGTCACCATGTAAGAATATTTGACCCTTTTCTGTGTTTTAAAAGTTGGGTGATTTTTCTTGAAAATAAATTAAATCTACTTTCTAGCAACAACTTTTCATTATTTCAATAACAGATTCATATGAATGAAATGAAGTTAAAGCTTGAGAATGTTGTACAAGAAAATGAAAGGTAAGGTTAGCCAAATTTTAAGGTTAGATTATTTTAATGTCTATTAATTGAAATAGGTGAAATTGCTGTGAAGTTATATGTTTGTGTTACTCTTGTAATTAAGATTTACTCCATTTTCCAACTGGAATAAATGTAATTGGCTGTACTACAGGCTGCATGCAGAGTTACAGGAGACCATTGAAAAACGGTTGGAGTCCCTGCCTTCTGATGCAGATATTGTTGATGTTGACTTTATGGAAGGTGAAGTGGTGAGAAACCTAAAGGAACAATTACGTCTAGCCAATAGGGTAGGTAATGACGAGCAAAATGACACATTTCTCAGCCTGCACTAATGCTTAAAACAGTAATTTGGCATCTAACTAATTTGTTATAACCTTTAGAAATTGCACCGGTCAGTAGAGTCAACATATGGTATAGCAAGGCTTACTCACCTGGAAGAATTTTTTTTTTTGTTTCTGGAATGTGGGCATCGCTGGCTAGAACTGCATTTATTGTCCACCCCTAACTGCCCTGGAGAAAGTGATGGTGAACTAACTTATTAAAGTGCTGCAGTTTTTACGGTATATGGAGGCCACATTACTGTTAAGAAGGGAGCTCAGGGATTTCAACCTGATAGTTTGATTACATTGGTTTAAAAGTGCGAAGCCAAGTATTACTGAAGCAGTTTGTTTTCTTTTGTAATAACCTGGCAGTTTTCAAAGTTATTTCTGCATACATCCACAATTTGAAAAGGTTATTGAATGCTGTTTCATAATTGATTGTGTGTGATTCGAACTCTCAACCTATGGGTTATTAGTCCACTACCATAGCCACAAACTAATGTAACACATTTATAATGGCACACTTAGCCAGTAGAATGACCAATCACTCATTTATTGATGTTTGCTTTGAATATACTTTCAAATGAAAAAGACAGTCATATCTGTTAGTATCTTTTTCGTAGATGCTAAAGTAACATGTTTGGTTAGGAATTGAAATGATTTACATTGCAACTGAAGTTTGTCTGCATTCACAAAGATAGAAAGCCAACTATGATTTGAGTTAGTAGCTATTATTTTGAATGGCTTCTCACTGCCACTCACATGCCGACTGTGATCAAGTTTAAAGTTTGTAGCAACATTGTAATGGAGATGCTTCATATTTAATATTTCTTGGAGGACTTAAATTTTGAAGGGTTGTGGAAAAATTGATTTATTTTCCAGTTTTGTTGAAATACCTCGAATGTTTTTTTTTAACAAAGAGGTCATTGAAAAGTCATAGTGGTAATTGGAGATTTTCTTAATGAAGCTTCCTAGAAGTCGAGACCAAAACACTGTATGATTTCAAAAAGGAGTTGGATATAGCACTTGAGGGTAAAAGGATCAAAGAATGTAGGCAAAACATAGGAACAGGCTATTGCGTTGAATGACCAGCTACGAACATGGTGAATGGCAGAGTAGGTCAAAGGGCCAAATGGTCTACTCCTGTTCCGACTTTCTATGTTGCTAAATCACATGACTGATAATGGCTTGCTTTGCTGTAAAGCCATGCTGGGAAGCTCTTGAAGTGCAGTGATAGCGTCCCTACCTCTGAGCTAGAAGACGTGGGTTCAAGTCCCGTTTGCTTCAGAGGTGCGTAATAACATCTCTGAACAGGTTGATCAGAAAATATCCAGAGTCCTGCTGGGGTTGTTTGAAGAGTGACAGGTTGAGGCTTGTTTTGGAATCAGGTTTTCTGTTAGAGGCAAGAAATCTGTGAGGCAGGGCGGCCCAATTGATCTCTCTCATTTCTGAAATGAAAAGCTTCTTGTGGAGTTCTTGGTGAAATCTATTTGTTTTTCTGAAAGACTGATTGGAGGAACTTCTCAAGATTGTATTTCCCCAACAGGCTATGTCTGAACAGCTTGGGAGATAAGTGTGCGTTTTTCGTGTGACAGGACAGCAGAACGCCAGAACACCAGACTTTGTAACACACTACATTTCTTCCTTTTGCCTTCAAGAATAACTCATTGTCTAAAGTATTATCTTCCAGAAAGCCAATCTCTCCAGAGAAATCCATTTTGTTTTCTCTTTTCCTGAAGAATGTGTGTGTGTTTTGGAATTATTTTGTGGGAATGAGGGATAGAAAGGGCAAGATTAGGGAACCATGGATGACAGGTGAAATTGTGAGACTAGCAAAGAGGAAAAAGGAAGCATACATAAGGTCTAGGCGACTGAAAACAGTGAAGCTGTGGAAGAATATCGGGAAAGTAGGACCAATCTGAAATGAGGAATTAAGAGGGCTAAAAGGGATCATGAAATATCTTTAGCAAACAGGGTTAAGGAAAATCCCAAAGCCTTTTATTCATACATAAGGAGCAAGAGGGTAACTAGAGAAAGGGTTGGCCCACTCAAGGACAAAGGAGGGAAGTTATGCGAGGAGTCAGAGAAAATGAGTGAGATTCTTAATGAGTACCTTGCGTCGGTATTCACGAAGGAGAGGGACATGATGGATGTTGAGGTTAGGGATAGATGTTTGATTATTCTAGGTCAAGTCAGCATAAGGAGGGGGGAAGTGTTGGGTATTCATTAGGGTGGACAAGTCCCCAGGTCCGGATGGGATCTATCCCAGGTTACTGAGGGAAGCAAGAGAGGAAATAGCTGGGGCCTTAACAGATATCTTTGCAGCATCCTTGAGCACGGGTGAGGTCCCGGAGGACTGGAGAATTGCTAATGTTTTCCCCTTGTTTAAGAAGGGTAGCAAGGATAATCCAGGTAATTATAGACAGGTGAGCCTGATGTCAGTGGTGGGGAAGCTGCTGGAGAAGATACTGAGGGATAGGATCTATTTACATTTGGAAGAAAATGGGCTTATTAGTGATAGGCAGCATGGTTTTGTGCAGGGAAGGTCATGTCTTACCAACTTGATAGAATTCTTTGAGGAAGTGACAAAGTTGATAGATGAGGGAAGGGCTGTAGATGTCATATACATGGACTTCAGTAAGGCGTTTGATAACGTTCCCCATGGTAGGCTGATGGAGAAAGTGAAGTCGCATGGGGTCCAGGGTGTATTAGCTAGATGGATAGAGAACTGGCTGGGCAACAGGAGACAGAGAGTTGTAGTGGAAGGGAGTTTCTCAAAATGGAGAACTGTGACCAGTGGTGTTCCACAGGGATCCGTGTTGGGACCACTGTTGCTTGTGATATACATAAATGATCTGGAGGAAGGTATAGATGGTCTGATTTGCAAGTTTGCAGATGATACTAAGATTGGTGGAGTAGCAGATAGTGAAGGGGACTGTCGGAGAATGCAGCAGAATATAGATAGATTGGAGAGTTGGGCGGAGAAATGGCAGATGGAGTTCAATCCAGGCAAATGCGAGGTGATGCATTTCGGAAGATCCAATTCAAGAGCGAACTGTACGGTAAATGGAAAAGCCCTGGGGAAAATTGATGCACAGAGAGATCTGGGTGTTCAGGTCCATTGTACCCTGAAGGTGGCAACGCAGGTCGATAGAGTGGTCAAGAAGGCATATGGCATGCTTTCATTCATCGGACGGGGTATTGAGTACAAGAGTTGGTAGGTCATGTTACAGTTGTATAAGACTTTGGTTCGACGACATTTGGAATACTGCGTACAGTTCTGGTCGCCACATTACCGAAAGGATGTGGATGCTTTGGAAAGGGTGCAGAGGAGGTTCACCAGGATGTTGCCTAGTATGGAGGGCGCTAGCTATGAAGAGAGGTTGAGTAAATTAGGATTATTTACATTAGAAAAACAGAGGTTGAGGGGGGGACCTGATTGAGGTCTACAAAATCGTGAGAGGTATAGACAGGGTGGATAGCAAGAAGCTTTTTCCCAGAGTGGGGGACTCAGTTACTAGGGGTCACGATTTCAAGGTGAGAGTGGAAAAGTTTAAGGGAGATATGCGTGGAAAGTTCTTTACGCAGAGAGTGGTGGGTGCCTGGAACACGTTGCCAGCGGAGGTGGTAGAGCCGGGCATGATAGCGTCATTTAAGATGTATCTAAACAGATACATGAATGGGCAGGGAGCAGAGGGAAACAGATCCTTGGAAAATAGGCAATAGGTTTAGATAGAGGATCTGGATCGGTGCAGGCTTGGAGGGCCGAAGGGCCTGTTCCTGTGCTGTAATTTTCTTTGTCCTTTGTTCTTTGAAAAGCATATTTCTATACTACCAACTATGTATGTTAACCAATTAATGCAACTTTTTTGAATAAGTTTTACTTTGATAATAAATCAATTATTGTGTTTATTAAGAAATCTAACTGATCCCAGTTAACTGAGTGCTTTTCTGCTTTGTGATAATTCAGAAGATGCTACATTGAGTATCAGTTCAGCTAGGGGAAAATATTTTCACCACTGAAACAGAAAAATTGTCTGGCTAGGTCTGGCAGAATCTGTGGAGAGAAACGCAGAGTTAACATTTCAAGTCCAGTAACCCTTCTTTAGAATTGATGGCATCTGGGAAAAAGTGGTATTATGTTGATGATAGAGGGTGGCAGCCATGGAGCCCAGAGAGATGGAGTGAGAAACAGGTAGGCAGTCGAGGGGATGGTAGATAGTAACCCGAGAGGAAAAAAATAGTTAAGTGTGCACTAGTGGGGAAATGAATATATTTTTAACTTGGTTATCCAATGTGATGGAGTGATTGAAGGTTTCAAGTTGACAAGCTTAAATTTAGAGTGAGGGAACATATTAAAATGATAGTGGGTTTAACACAGACGCAAAGAAAAGAAACAGTATATGTCAAACCTACTATTTTGAACCTTTAGGTCAAAAACAAAGTAAGAGTAGCAAATTACCAAAAAAAGTCCTTAGTAAGCACTGAAATGGCATACACCTCTGAACTTTCAGAGTCTATGACAATCATTTAGCAAAAAGTGAAATCAAATTCAATGTGATTTACAGTTCAGGAATTTGTGGCATTCTGCATCTCCTTACTGATGGAAAAAGTATTCCCTAACTGGTTTGCCTTGTTTTTTTAGGAAAAAGACCTAGCCTTGGAGTTATGGCAGTCAGTTTCCCAAGCTTTAGATCGAATGCAACAGATGTATCAAGATCATGTGTCAGAGACTCAGAATCATGCCTTTGACCAACAACAATGGAATGTATGACATCCTTAATATTTTTGTATCTCATTGAGCTAAATGAACATTGTACATTTCCACATCAGAAAAATAGAGAGATTTACCTTGTTAAAATGATCATTTTTCAGTTTTTTTTTCAAGTTGCTGTGTGCTGATTGATAAATTGCACGTTTCTGTGATCCACCAGCAAGTGCATAAATCTTTGGTACTGTTTTTTTTTCCAGGAACAGTTGGCCCACTTTCGACAACTTAATCAGCAGCTTCAAGTGGCCAATCAAAACTTGAAACTGGTAAGGCAAAGCATCTGGAAAGTGCTCAAGTAGAATCCAGTACAACCTTCAGTTTTGCATATTAAACTCTACGGAAAATAATTCTGGAAATATTTTGGCTCAAGTGAATTTTTAATGGAAAATTTGTGTTTCAAGAGCTCATGCGTCACCAGACAATTAATGGTTTTATTTAATAGATTTTGTGCCAACATTTTCTTACACGAAGTGCTAATTCAGTCCTGTATTCAAATATTACCTGAGTCAGCAATAACCATTTAAATTCATTGAACATCTTTAATTTATTAACATGCCCTGAGATATCTAATAGTAGTGTTATCAAGCAAAGTTTAGTACCCAGCCTGTTTTGATATTAAGGATTTGTTCATGGGTTGAAACCCCACCTAAACACTATTAGGACCCTCCCAAAATTCTCAACATTCCAGGATCAATCTAGATGTCAAGTTAAACCTGTCTTTTATCAATTACCAACCATCCCCTTAAACACACCTCCTATATACCTCACTGCTCATTTCAAATTTCAAGTTTGAAGAGCAAAAACGCACCTTACCATCAACATCACAGGAGCTCGGAAACATGTACTATTGCTGATTACCTTCTTGCCGCACAGTATCCCTCCCCATACACAGTAGTGTGTATTTTGTCATTGTGGCTTTGGTATGAAGCAGCTACCAGAGTTACTCCAACTCCCCTCCCCAACCCTACTGCAGGAACCCTCTTCTAGCACACTTTGGCTTGTGTGTGAGGATACAGCAGCTGTAATGTGATAACTTGCAGTCTGGGAACCTGTCTGGTTTGGTCAATGAAGGAGATGATGCTTTGAGTGAATGTGCTCTGCTCCCTTGACTCTTGTTGATCTGAGAGATCACAAGATGCCAATCAGTCCTCAATGTACTCCCATTCAGGTCTTCTCCAGATTAGGTCCTAATTGGATGACATGTGTCTTTTTTTCTTTTAAACCAGTCAGCTCAGACATGATGTGACACCACTCTGGCAGATGGGCCTTGAACTTTCTGGTATAGAATTAGGGGCACTACCACTCTGCCACAAGAGCAGCTTGGATGGTATGAAGTCAGTTGGCGTGCTGATTAACTTTGAATTCAAGGCAGATGGATAGTGTATCATTAATACATTCTAATTCCTGGAGCAGCTGTATGGATGGTTTCATATTCTAGCCCTGGGTTCTGCCCTGTTTCAAAACACAGTTTTTCACTCTTCCCACTTTGGATATTGTTTTGCACAATAAACCCTTAATATTACAGTTGATTTTTGGATGAATATTGTGAGTTTCAAAATTTACATTCATTGCGCTGACTTGCAGGATTTGCCTGTGACCCACAACCTCCCCCTCATTTTTCAACTCCCCAACTGTATCACGAGCCCTGTTTCCTGGATGACCCTTCGCCCTGTTTCCTGGATGACCCTTCACCCTTTCCCTGGTTTTGGTTGAACTTCTTCATTTTATGTTTTATCCCCAGAGTCCCTAATAAGCAAGGTTTTGATGCCCTTGCTAGCTCTGTACCCTGTCCAAATTAGTGACAGAATGATTGTGACTTCCTTGACCCCCGGTCAGCTGCCGCCCATCTTCCCGGATTGAATTTGTAATACAGCCCCAACAGTGCGACCAACGAGTCCCAGAATGGTTTTGTTCTTGCATTGAATCAACCACCTGATTGACTGCAGGCACCCCCCCCAACCCCCACTGAAAACTCCTGCTTTGCATTTCACATATCACTATGATGTTCATGTAAAAACGGTGTTTTTGCCATGCTCCAAACAAATACGCCACTTCTGGCTTTGACACAGCACCATGCCCTTCAGCAACATGTTACCTCCCTTTCACATTGATGCTTCACTGCTGCCTACAGCCACATGCTCTTTCCTTGCCTTCTGGGCTTGAGTATCCTAACCACAAGGTACCTACTTTCCTTTTATGCTCTAGTTAGTAGACATTCGAAGACAAAAGATTCTGCCCAACTTTGACTGTGTAAGTGCTACTTGTGAAGCAGAAGCTAGCGTATTGCCATTACCCAGTTGGATGGAGCAATTGTCTGGGCATACAACTTACCTTGATTTCTTTGCAAGCTGTGGAGGTTGCAACAAAAGTGAAAACCAGGATCATTGAGAAGATTTCGGTAGAGGCAATTCATGTCGCATACTGTCCCAACCTGACAGCCAGAAAACAAACAAGTACACCCTTGGTTTTTGAACCAAAGAGTACCTTGATTGGGAAAGTGAAGTTAATTCCAGTGATTTGGGCAATTAATGAGATGTGATATAGATGTACTAATGAGATGTAACATGTATATAGGCTTCTTGTCACCTGATAGCAAGAAAATCATCTCACCTTCTAATGAGGGAGGACATAATTGCAGAAGTCTACCTCGATTGTACAAATCTAGTTTTTGGACTGTCTCTCCAGTAACTCATACTCACTATAATTCTCACCACGTCAGGAAATGGAAAATCATGCCATCAGATTAAGCAAATCCTTGCAACTGTTTCTGTTGTGCTGTCCCATTCCCTGATCCCATCAAGTCAAACTGCCTCTGTAGTTGTATTCTGGCCTACCTTTCGACTTGCATCTTTAGTTTCTCTCCTATCTCTATTAATGTGCTCTCCTAACTCCTCTTATCTATGCAACCTACCTTCTGTTCTTTATGACTTTGCTCCCATTAAGCTGCTGACCACTCATTGCCTCTTCCTGGTTCCAATGCTAGTTGCTATTGGAAATGGTTTCCTTTTGTCTCTGACATTGTCCCACTCTTATTCTAACTTGCTGTCATCTTGTTTCTGCTTAAAAATCCACCCTTGATTCCTTTGTCCTCACATGCCACAAACTCATAGCCAACCTTCCTTCCTCCCAGATGCGTACACCTCCTTCCTTCAACTCCACATTTGTGCCTTTCCAACCACATTTCTGCTTCTGCCATAGCATTTTAAACAGGCTTAATCAAATCACATATGATATCATATCTTATGACTGTGGATGAGGTATACAATGCCTTTTCATTCTTTTCAATCAGTCTGCAATCTTTTACATAGTTGATCACATATTCTTTTTCATTTTCATTTCTCAATGCCTTTCCTGTGTTGTTCAGTTCAGTGGAACCGTTTTCTTCAATTCTCATCTGTTTGGTCATACCCAGCGAACCTGCTGCAGTGGTTTATCTCCCTGCTTAGATACAATTACTCCCAGAATCCCTACATGTATGTATCTATGACTTTTCTCATTTCTCATCTATATGTTGCCACTTAGTGACATTATTCAAAAACTGTGAACTTAGCTTTCGATCCCATATTCTGTCCATCACTAAGATTGCCTATATTCATCTCTATAACTTTGTTTATCCACAACCCACCTCATCTCATCTGCTGCTAAGTCTTCATCCATGCTATTGTTGCCTTTAAACTCCACCATTTGAATGCAATCCTGGTTGGTCTTCATATTTCATTTTTACTTTCACTTCGTCCATTGAACTCAGCCAAAGCTCTGCTGTCCGTGTCATTAATGGCACCACATTCCATTCATACAACACCCCTGTGCCCTCAGGATTACGTTGGTTCCTATGACATCCTGTGTTTTAAATTTTCATCTTTGTGTCCAATGTCTCTCTCAAACATTCTCTTAGCCTCTACCCTGTTGAAGCCTCCCAGATCATGTGCATCTCCTTGTGGTTTCAGCTATTTAAGCCATAACCTCAAAAGTTTTCAATTGTAAATTCACCTTCTTTATGATACTTCTTGAAGCATACCTTTATGGTCAAACTTTTGATTGCCTATACTCTTTGGTTCAACATCAATTTTTTTTGTTGGATTACACTTCTGAGAAACCCTTTGGGATGCTTCACAGCATTAAAGGTACTTTTGAAAGTGCAAGTCATTTTTCATAACATATTCTTAGCTACTTTTTGTCACAACATGGAGGAAATGCTACATACCCAATGTGACATTAAATCAGGGTTCCATTTGCTTGAATTGGTGGAAGTGAAAGATCTAATGACTTTTTTTTTGAAGAAGTAAAAGATGTCCTCAGTGTTTGGCTAGACTTATCTGTCAATCATAGCTTAGCATTGCAGTTTCCACAAGTAGTTAAAAAGGCTATGGCCTTTACGGCAAGAGAGTATAAAAGTGTGAAATAAAAACCGAAAGAACTGCGGATGATGTAAATCAGGAACAAAAACAGAAGTTGCTGGAAAAGCTCAACAGGTCCAGCAGCATCTGTGTAGAAGAAAGTCAGAGTTAACGTTTCGGGTCCAGTGACCCAAGGAAGGGGTAAAACGTTAACTCTGATTTTTTTTCCCTTCACAGGTGCTGCCAGATCTGCTGAGCTTTTCCAGCAACTTCTGTTTTTGTTCATTAAAGTGTGGAAGTCTTGCTAAAGTATTATGGCCATTGACCACGCCAACCGTGATGTGTAGAGTTAAAGGTGAGATAATTGCTTTGGAGGTAGTTCAGAGAAAGTTCACTAGTTTGATTCCTGGTGTGAAGGGGTGTCTTAAAAGAAAGTTTGGATCTATAGTCATCGGAGATTAGAAGAATGAGAGGTGATCTTATTCAAACATACAAGATTTGAGAGAGGCCTCAACAAGATAGATGCTAAGAGAGTGTTTGTGAGAGAATTATGAAAAAGGGGCCACCATTGCAAAATAGGGGATCTTACATTTAAAATAGGCATGATTTTGTCTTAAAATCATTAATCTTTAGAATTCTATGCCCAGGAGACCAGTGGACCTGGGTTATTGAAACATATCCAAGGCTGCTTTAGATGGATTTTTGAAGGAATTAAGCGTTATGAGAGACAAGCAAGAAAGTGGAGTTCAGGACACAAGCAGATCAGCCGTGATCTTATTAGGTGGTGCAATAAGTTTGAGGTCAATTGTATACTATTGCTGCTACATTGATGTTTTTTATGTCTTGATCAATGTTAGTAGCTGAACTAACATTACTGAACAGATCAGCCAGTCATTGAGCTCTTTGCTGTTTGAGACACCTCGCTGGTACAATTTGCTTGCCATATTTGCCTACAAAACAGTAAAACAACATCAAATGCAATCTGTTTTCTATCAAGTGCTTAACATTCTGTGTACTGAAAGACACCATATAAATACAAGCTCATTCCTCTTATTGTCTCCTATAGACAGCATCATTTCTTCCAATCTTGAGTCAACCAAATATTAACTGGAGTACTCAACGTCAATATTATTTGTACGTTTGAACAGATTAGTTTGCAGTGGCTGTGCAAATGATGTCAATACGTTAAAAACTGCATCATCATTTGCCATTGAGAACTTTAGTTTTAAAATAGTATGTATTTCTGATTTTGTTTGTGATAGTGATTGTATTTTTGCTTTACCTATAAACACAGTGCAGTCCTTTTCTTCGTTCATGAAGTGGCCTCTGTTCTTTTAAATAGTATGGAGGTTGTGACTTTAAAAGCATGGAGGTTATGCCGTTTCCTAAACCATGTGTAGGTTATTAAACCATCATGTGAGCCTAAAAAGCTATAATAGCTTTTCCTCCTTCCTGTTTAAACAGACTAATCAGCAAGTTATGAATACGGTGACTGAGCAGAATTCGGAACTGGACCAGCATCACAAAGAATTGAGGTATGTATAAATTTATTGTATTTCATCACAGTGAAAGTTAAGTACGCATTTCATTCCAAGAAAATATTACAGTGAATGTTCGCCTATATTCAAATTACACAAAAGTTACCCAACAAATAAATCTATTAAAAGGAAAAATTACAAACCAAATTCTAAGATTAAAATAATCAGAAATATTAGATGCCATCTGCTTCAAATTTCAGAGATGACCTTTTACCATAGTCATTAACCGATCCATCTGTTGCAGATGCTGGTTGGCATGTTGTATACTTCTAATCATTTTTATTTTAACTGGAAACAGGTGTGGTAAACCTTCATTTCTGTAATTTCTTCCAAGGATTGCTAAAGACCTTTTCTTAAAATTACGTAGGAATACATTGGTTTCCATGTGAAATTTGTTCTCTTCCAAACTGTCGACATGACTGCACAACATGAAATGTTTTTGATGAAATAACATAAGGAAACTAGGATTTGCATTCATCACTGGTCTGTCTGTTGTGAGGAAGGTTAAAAGTTTCAAGCAACTGCTCCCAACATTAGGTATATGAAGAAATATCAATTAACTACACTAACTAGTAAAATAATCCTATTATATAATGCTAAACTGCAGATCAAATTTTTTTCCATACAGTGGGGGTTCCCCTTATGATCTCAAAAGCAGGAATAATACAATTCTCCTTCTGCAAGACCCAGAATCCCTAATTACAAAGGGTAGGAGACTAACTGGCTGCCATCAGAGCTGTCATTTCTATTCAGGATGGCTGTCTGCTCTTTGGAGTTGCCTGCCAGTCAAGGAGTTGTTAACTCAGTAGTCTCAATATCGCAACGGATATGTGAGCAATGTTGGAACTGCACCTGGAAAAGAAGATTCCTAGCAAGGACAGCAACCTCCCGACCAGCTATGACACTCTTAACAACTCGCACATGACCGGACTAGCAAGAGAGAGAAATTATGATGGAAAGACTCTATGGCCTAAAGCATGCCCAAAAGGAGGGTCAGTGCCAATAACACATCACTCCCACCAGCACTGAGGGGACTTATTGGCCAGTAAAAGCCGTCCTTGCAGCCCCAGTGAACTATTCTGAGGAAATTCTCTTCCAATTTGAGGGCCCTGCCAGCTTGGTCTTACTGAATTTTTATTTTAAACTTATCTCTTTTTAAGGGTGTCTCCACGATGGAACTGATTGGTCCAGCAGCTTCAGAAGCGCACCTGCACTTCTTGGTGCTCTAGTACCACAGCTTGTTCTACTGCTGAGCAGGCTGGGCTCGGGAGCATAGTTTGATTCCCTTGAGAAAATTCTGTCTTTTGACACAATAATGTGTACCCATTACAATATTCAGAAATATGAGTAAGAAAATGGGAAAACTATTACATTCTTCAAATGAATAAACTGTGTATCTGTTTTGTACTTGGAACATCAGAGCGCCACTGAAATCTTCCTTTTCTGCCATTTAATGGATCATTACCTCAACTTCATTCACCTGCCTTTGTTCAGTTTTTTTTTCTGTTATTCTCACAAATAACTTGGAAAATAGGAGTGTAGTGGGCTATTAAGTACTTCAAGACTGCTCTGCCATTCAATATGATCACTGAACTCAGTACTCTGTTCCTGTTTTCTCCCCATACACTATTTGATTCTTTAGCCCCAAGAGCAATATCTAACTACTTCTTGAAAATAATGTACTTCTGACCCTGTCAGTACATAACTGCCTTGATACCATCTGTACACTCCTGTTATTGGTACATAATGGACATCTTAGAATATCTGAATTGGTCTTTTGAAGAAAATCTGAAGAAGGGTCTCGACCCGAAACGTCAGCTTTCCTGCTCCTCTGATGCTGCTTGGCCTGCTGTATTCATCCAGCTCTACACCTTGTTATCAAACATTCAGCTCCTGCTGTTTTGATTGTTCTTCGGCCGATAACCAACTTGGTTTGTGAAGATAATGTTTCTATGTTCTGTATTCTTTGTACCATTTTCAAATGATATGATGCTGGTGTACTTGCAGCACGGAAATATCATTTAGCCTAAATGGTGATATGTTTTTTAATGCAATTAATTTCCTTCCACTTCTCATTACTTAACTCTATCTACCTAACCTTCAACTCCTTCCTCTACACATTTATTTCTCTAGCTTCCCTTAAATACATCTCCGCTTGAATAGTAGCATACCAACGCGACAACAGGTATATTGATAATGGTGATTACCGTTTAATTCTGATCTGTACTTATTTGGTAAGAAATGTGGGAAACAATTAGATAACAAATGTACCAATAATAAATTGTCATATACCAACCATTGTCACCCACTTGTGAATTCTAGGCCAAGTTATGATCTAATTGAATGGTGGAACAGACTTTGATGCTGTAAATGATCTCCATCTGTTCCCCTGTTCTTAACAGACAGAAATGTGAAGCACAGATGTATTGCAATTTGTTGGATCTATGATGTTTTGAAATACATACTGTCCATATCTGAAATTTATATCTTTGCAATCCAAATCCAATATAGTTTCTCGAAAAAATTTTCTGGTACCTTGGTATACCGAAAAATGAGCCACAACATAGAAAACTTCATTATTGATAAACACCTGTTATTTACATGATTGCTGTCATTGACGATTGAATCAGTGAATCAAGCTGGTTTGGGTTCAGATGTTATCACCCACTCCCTTAGTTAAAATGAAGCAACAAGAATTCAAGATCTAAAATTGTGCTGAAAGAGGTTGTGAATTGTTCTGCTCACCATTATAGCTGTATTTTAAAAAGGTACTAAACATTAAAATGTACAATTTTATCAAGAATTTACTTGAATTTATTGAACATTTTTGTCGTATTCTCAAAGGACTTTACAATCAACACTTGAAATACATCAGTTCTCTCTTTCGTAGGCAAATGTGGCACCTAATACACTTAATCAAGTCCCACAACAGCAACAGAGATGAAAGACTAGGCAATGGTTTTTAGTTGAGGGACAAACATTAGCTGACAAAGGTCATTTAATGCCCAATTGAATAGGCTGACAGAATGTGGATAAAATCTAAGAGACGGCACAATTAGTTGTTCGTTAGCTCGCTGAGCTGGTTGTTCTGTGGTGCGCAGACATTTCATTACCCTTCTAGGCAACATCATCAGTGCGACCTCTAATAGAAGTGTTAGTGTTCTGCTTCTTTCCGGATTTATATGATCCTCTGGTGTGATGGTCTTGTCACTTCTGGTTCTGTTGTTTTAGCGACAGTCTGTATATGGGGTCTATTTGTATGTGTTTGTTAATGGAGTCCTATGTTGAGAACCAGGCTTCCAGGGATTCCCTTGCATGTCTGGTGTTCACTTGTCCTAGTATGGTCACTTTGTCCCAGTCGAACTGATGGCCCTCATTGTCTCTGGTCAATATTCACTTGTCTCAATGCACACAGACAATAGACCCCAATATACAGACCGTCGCTAAAACAACAGAACCGGAAGTGACAAGACCATCACACCAGAGGATCATATAAATCCGGAAAGAAGCAGAACACTAACACTTCTATAGAGGTCGCACTGATGATGTTGCCTAGAAGGGTAAGAAACATCTGCATGCCACAGAACAAATGGCTCAGTGAGCTAACAAACAACTGCATCCACAACCCGAGCTACAAATTTTCGCTAATACCTTAAAAAGACGACACAATCAATTATGCAACAATCAGCCAACACTTAAACTGAAAAGTCATCCTTGATTATGTACTCAAATCCTAGAGATGGGTTTGAACCTACGGCCTTTTTGGCTCAAATGATGGTAGGGTAAATTGAACCAAGCTGATGCTTCATCGATATAATGTATCCTCTATTGCACACTGCAGTTGTACGATTTATTCAAATATTTTGTTTCTACAGGAAAGCAAAGCTGGATTTGCGAACGGCAACTTTGAAAGTGGAAGAAATGAACAAAATGATGCAAAGGATGCAAGAAGACATGCAGAGAAATGTATGTAAATGTTCTCTTTTTGAGGTACAAAATTGACAGTAGAAACTTTATGTAATCTGCATGTTGTCTTGAATAAAGATACTCAGAAGAGAAGTTCCATGTTACAATCTTTTTGATTTCTTGTTTTAAACAAAGGCGGTTTCTCTGGATGCAGTGCTCACCAGTAGAGTCTTCAAAGTGGCAACTATAATCCAGATAGTTTTATTGTGTAGTTTATTGTAAAGCATCTTATCGATATAAGTGGACTGTAGCTTCCTTCTCTTTTCGATTTGAATGAAACATAAATGTTTCTGATTTGCAGGTTATAAAATATTTGTACTTTACCATGCAGCCTGCTATAGAAAATTGACCATTATAGTGATGTTATCAAAGAATAACAGTATTATCCTCCTGTTGTGCCGATCCACGTGGGGGCCCAAGAACTCTGGACTGTCCTACGAGACCTGTCATTTCAGCCTACACCTGCCCCTCTGAATTTATTCTTCTTGACATTTTCTCCCCTTTTTGTCTAGTCTGTTTCCACCGCCATCCTTGACTCTTCTGATGCCCTATGTCATTTCACCAATTTCCAGTTTCCTGTCCCAAACCGCGTCCTCTCAACTATGGACATTTAATCTCTCTATATCTCTATCTCCTATCACGATGGTCTGAGAGCTTTCTGCTTCTTCGTTGAACAGAGACCCAATCAGACCCCATCCACAATATCTTCCACTGTCTGGTTGAACTCATTCTCTCACTGAATAACTTTTCACTTTTCTCATTTCCTCCAAATAAAAGCTTTCATGAGTACCAGCATGCCTGCCTTTTTGTTGGCTTTGTGGCACTTTCGTTGTACCAGTCTTACTTAGAACACTTCCCACAATTGTTTTTTCCAGTACAGTGATAACTATATTGTTGATGTTTCCTGGGTGTCCCCTAAAAACTGAAAAAGTTAATCAACTTTACTTCCAATTTCAACCCTTCCCTCATCTTTACATGGTCAATTTCTAACACGTCCCTTCCTTAACTTCTGTGTCTCCATTTCTGGGGATAGGCTGTCAGCTAATATTCAAAGAAATCCACTAACTCCCAAAGCTGCCTCGATACACTTCCTCACACCTTTCCATTTGTAAGGTTTCTACTCCTTTCTCTCAGTTTAAGCATTTGTGTAATCTCGCATGATGAACTCTCCACAACAAAGCATCTGATATGTCTTCCTTTTTTCTGAACTGAGGAATTCTCACAAACTATGGTTGTTGGGGCCTCAAGTATGTCCAACCCATTCCCCACATGTCTGCTCTATAAGAGTTCCATTTGCCCTAACCCCACATTTAACAGATCATTCTCTGTAATTTGTACCACCTCCAGTGTGATGCCACAACCAAACAGTTCTTCTGTTTCCCTCCCCTCTCAATATTCCAAAGGGACTATTCCTCCAAGACACATGTGTCCCATTCTCAACCAACCCTCTCCCAATGCCTCATCCCCTCCCACGCAATCGTAGGACATGTGATGCCTTCCCTTTTATCACTTCTTTCCTCAATGTCCAAGGTTCCAAACAACCCTTCCAAGTCAAACAGCACAGGTGTCATTTTGCCTCTTCTGTTAGTCATCATCATATTGAATTAATCTGTTCAAATCTAGATCATCAATATAGTAGTTAAAATATAGAGTATCAAGTTCCAACTTGCATCATCTGATTTCAGTCCCTGAGCCTTTGTGGACTAAAATGGTTTCAAAAAGAAAGAAACATGGCTGTAAGATGGCCAGGGTAGTCACCTGACCATGTTCGATAGAGCTTGCAAAAGCAATATGAAATAAACAAAGGCAATCTGATCTAACATCAAATTATTTTTTCAAAAGGCACTGAAACTGAGTCAAGAAAGAGTTTTCTTTTAGATCTTAAAGGCATCAGGAGGTATATAGAGAAAGAGGGAATATGGCATTGAGGTACAGGATTAGCCATGATCAGATTGGGAATCTCTCCAGCTGAAGTTTGAGGAAGATATCAGCTTCGGAAAGAAAAATGTAAAACTAAGTTCCACATTCCCATGTCTTATAAAAACAAAGATGGGTGTCACTGGCTATATTCTACATCATTTCCAGTTAATGTCATTTCCATAAAATCATTGGGTCTTATAGTACAGGAAAGCCTTCGACCCCACTAAGCTGTGTTAGCTCTTTCCAACACAGTTAGCACAGTCCAACAAATGTCATCCCCAATTCTTCTTGTAAATTTTTCTCCTTCAAGTATTTAATTCCCTTTTTGAAGGCTACAATTTAATCTGTTTTCATCACCCAATGTAGCAAAGCATCTTTCTTCACATCGCCTCCGGTTCCTTGGCAGTGTGCAGATAAACATATGCACCTGTTGTTCATAATTTAAACAAAATTGCACTGCTCGGTTTGTTGGTGGAGTACTTACTAATATTAGAGGAGAAGGACCATTGTTGTGCCATTGCAAGTTTGATTTTTGAACTCGCATTTTAACATTGTGCCCCAAACGAAAATCCTGTTGAAACGTTTTGATGACGCCCAAAACCACATTTCGGTTCATCCTCTGTGAACTAGCGTCACATGGCTATAAGATTAGATAGAAGATTTCAAGTATTAGTGGTAATGGGAGGAAACTGCTTTGTTTCCTCCTTTATATATAGTGATTGTAATTGGTAATAACACATTAATATTGAGCCTTACACTAGTTAAAAATACTTGTGCTCGTTTTAGAGTGGTGTGGTTTTCTCTTTATCTTTAGGTGGAGCAAACTGCAGCTGCCCTAGGGAGAGAGGAAGCCTCAGATAAACGATTGCAACAATTACAATCTGCTATAAGCCAGTTCGAAGCCAGGTATTACCACACAGATAGCAATAACAGGTTCTTTGACATTCAGTTTCCCTAATCTTGCAAGCACGTTTTTTCATTTAGAGGCTTTATTAAAAGGTATTCAGAATTAAATGCATTTCGTTTTTATAGTCAGCATTAGGGTTCATTCCCAACAAACAGCAAGTTTTCCAAATGCTAATGTAGAGGGAAGACATCCTCCTTATATTGCCACTCAATATAATGAGCTGAAGATGGCATATAAATGAGAACAAGGTTGTTATCTTACTGCCTTGCCTCCCCTGGAAGTATTCACTGTATGGAGAATTATAAGTTAAATCTGAGGTAGTTACCAGTGTTACTGTCCCAAAATATTTATACCAATTTTCGGCATTGCAAATCTTATCATTTTAAGCCTGTTAATTAAAATAACCCATGGACTCAAGAATGAGTTTTAAAGCTTCCACTTAACCAAGTAACCTACAGTACCTACAGTATACCAAACTGGCATATTGCACAGTACATTAACGTTGGTGATATTATAGAAGATAATGGTTCTGAAGAATTAATATTCATGTTACATTGCTTCCAGCCTTTCTGATGTTATATATGGTCTCTTGGTAAAGAAAGGTAGTTACTGTAGTTTTTGGTGGGAGCTATTGAATCTATACTAGCTCCATCGCGTCCTAGTAATTATCTGTGGCCGCATGCAAAGTAGTTTTTGCTATCTTGCAATAAACCTTCCTGTTATCTAAGAACGGTTTCTCTATTAAAAAATTCTACAGCCATCTATCTTTTACCACTAATGACAAGCCCAAGACAAAACAAAGACAAAGGATTATGGTTGGCAGTGAACTACCATGAGCAACTCCCCTCCAGTACCCTCATTAGTAGAGCTAGCAAATAGCATGAGGCACCAGAAGTGATCATCTGGGAAAGGCAATGTTTGCTGACACCAACAACTACAGGCAACTACATATGTACGCTTCTTTGGGAAAGCACAATTGTAGCACTGATGTCAAAAAGTAGACATTATATGTGATGTCATGTCATGAACCCAAGGAGTATAAAGGGAAGAGGGCCCAGACGCCACGAGGTGAGAGATAGAGCAGTGAGAAGGAGAGCCCAGGAGCTGGGAGGCCCTGTCCCCCTCTGTGTCTCTTCTGTTCGCTCCCTGGCTCCCAACCCCACCCCTGCTAGTTCTTTCCCAGGTCCCAAACCAACCACATCAGGGGTAAATTATTACCAAACAGCCAGTACTAAAATTCAAAGCTTTATTGAAAAATTCAGTACAGTATCATAGGCATACAGTTTAAAGCACTGGCAAATAGAAAGAATACTGTAGCAATTGTTGTGCTAAAGCCTAGCAAGCTCTACTGTAATCCAACTTAAAACAGAGCTGGTGAATACAAGAGTGAAAACCTAAAGAATAGCAGATTTAAAGTATTATTGTAATATTACAGAATTAAAATACATTTACGGCAAAAGATTAATCAGTAACAGTTGAGAAGAAATGTAAGAGCACAAGTTTGGATATTGTGGAGAGGACAACTCTTTACATACAGAATTCCCTAAAAACTAAACACAAAGTGCAGAAGTAGAATGTAGTTAGAGAGCTGCAAAAAAATTACATAAAACCTTAAAATATTTTACAATAATCTCTTTTTTAGAAATGATAACTGAGGCCTTTAATGGGGAAATTGATAATCACATCAGTCCAGTATTCATAGACCTGTTTATGTCAATGGACGTCCCTTTGAATTTAAGCTTGATACCAGTGCGGAGGTCATTCTCCTATTGTAACAGTTGCCATGACTGAAAAATAAAAAAGCTACAACCTATAGTGATGTAACTCTATAGCATTGATGGAATGACTGTCAAGGGTATTGGAAAGCTACAATTTACACTTGAACACAGGAGGCATTAGATATTTGGATATATGGTCATAGCTCACAATCAACACTTGTCACTTTTGAGCCAGCATGTATGTTTGAATCTCTACTTTCTAAAGGAGTGAGAAGGAGTCCCACTTGGAAGGATATGAGCCAAGCACAGGCAGATGAAACTGGTTTATTTTGGGATTATGGTCAGCATAGACTGAATGGACCTACAAGTCTGTTTCTGTGCTGTACGACTCTGTGACTCTAGTTCCAAGAGCCCAGAAAGAAGCAGTTGTCAAACCAAAATAAACTATTGTCAACCAACCAATCAAGGGACAAACGGTAGAATTTTTTTCAGGCTTCCTCAACTCATTCCAGAACCCAAAGAGAGGGCAAAATCTTTTTAAGGTTACTACAGTGGCGCGGTGGAAATGTTGCATATGGCTGAGAAGAAACAGTGGCCAGCAAAACCAAAGAGGTACAACTAAATTTGACAAGATAAAATGAGTGACCAACACTCTGCTACCATTCACCAGTATTATACTAACCAATTTTGGTGTTGAGTGCAAACTTACTAACCATATCCTTCCAAGTGGGACTCCTTCTCACTCCTTTAGAAAGTAGAGATTCAAACATACATGCTGGCTCAAAAGTGACAACTGTTGATTGTGAACTATGACCATATATCCAAATATCTAATGCCTCCTGTGTTCCAGTGTAACTTGTAGCTTTCCAATACCCTTGACAATCATTCCACCAATGCTATAGAGTCACATCACTTTAGGCTGTAGCTTTTTTATTTTTCAGTTATGGCAACTGTTACAATAGGAGAATGACCTCCGCACTGGTATCAAGCTTAAATTCAGAAGGACGTCCATTGAAAGATGGCCAAATCAAGAGTCCACGGAGTTGGCTGAGGACATGTACTTTGAGCGCCAATAACATTTCACAATCATAGACAACTTAATATTGTATGACAGTGTAGTGAAAGACCAGGCATCCAAGCTTCCCTTTGGGAAGTGCATTGGAACGAATGCATCAGAAACAAATGGGCATTTCCAGGTGTACAGCTCAGTTGGTGATATAAATGCCAGAGATCTTAAAAGACTGAGAATCTCAACTCATTATGAAAAATTAGATTATATGTGGACAGGTACTTGGATAGGAAAGGTTTCAAAGGATATGGGCCAAAAGCAGGCAAATAGGACTTGTTTAAGAAACCTGGTTGGCATGGACGAGTTGGGCCAAAGGGCCTGTTTCCGTTCTGTATGACTCTATGACATGATTGGCAGCTCTGGAAATCGCTTCTGTCATCACAGACAGATCAGAAGATAAAATTCAGCAAAGTTTGCAAGAAAACGCCAATACTGAGAACAGAAATAAACAATGCAACCTACCTGAGCTCATTCAGGAATATTTAACTTTACCTCCAGACAGCAGAACATTTTCATGAAATATTACAGCAGCAGAGAATTCTCAATACCAACGACAAACATTGTTTTGAGTAAGCAACAATCTTTCAGTAACACAAGCGATAATGGAAAACTTTACTTTACCAGTCAAACATCAAAGAGGACTGAAGATGTCTGGCCTGAACAGCAAATCAAGGCAGATGACCTGCATAGACTTTCATAGGAGCCACACCAACATCAACAGATTCATGACAAATTCAAATAGAAGAAATTGCCTGGTTTAATAATCCAGAACAGAAAGTTATGTACCAATTAGAAAGATACTGTCCAGCTCAGAATCCCAGGAAACAGTAAAGTAATTGCTTCAACAGAGCAACTGTTTTCCATGATTAATATTTTGTAAATTAGAGATCCCATGTGTTATTGTGGAGCAACTACCCACATTACCAGTGAGGAGCCCTTCTGTGAAGGAAACTCACAAGATTAAAGGCCATCCAAATACACCAGTAGACCTCTGATAAGGTCTATAAGGTACAGTATTCTCTGCAAAAGATATTTGAGAGATAAAAAATCCTTCAGTGGAGAAGTGAACAACAAAGCAACACCAGAGTCTACAGTTCTCAAACAAGAGACCTGCTATAGTTTGGGGGGGAAAATGGGTTATTGTTAAATTTATATTATTATAAACATAACTGCGTAATGGCTTAAAGAGCTTTCTCTTCAGAGAGTCGGTGTGGACTTATTGAACCAAATGGCCTGTTTCCACATTGTAGGGATTTGATTTGATTGATAAATATGGAGTGACAAATAGCTGGAGAGCAGGAGGGTGATTTTGTATAAGGTAATGATTCTAAAGGGTTAGCTTTCATGTTACATTCACTCCAGCCCTTTCTGCTGATGCCTCAAACACTATCTCAGCGCGCATTACAGTGACCTTATAAAGCTGATTCAGTTAATTATACCTACCAAATGTAGTTGTATTTACTGATGTCGTACAATAAAGCACCATGTAGCCTAAGAGCAGTCAGTGCCCTTTTGTAAATATTCTATGGTTGTGGAACCTCTACCACTAATCACTAGATAGGCCCAAAACAAGATGCCGACCCTTAATCCTTATAAAGTATCCCATCATGGTATAATTGGCACAGCCCACAGTACCAGGAATGGTCATCTGGGAAAGTACTGCAGATAAGTAAGATGGCCAGACAGAAACTAAAATTAAACATTTATTTAATATTGTTCAATCTTCCAAGCAATTACTGCTCTTTGAAAGTCTGAATTCTTAGGTGTACATTATTGAACAGTTGGATTATTTTCCATTAAACTTCATATCAGATTCCCCAACTTCATGTGGTTTGACAATTGATAATGTCATTGAAGCTTATGCATCAGTATTCAATGAAAATTTACAATCAATTGACAATTTCTCATTGAACTCCAGAAGGGACCTAGGATTTTTTGAAAACCATGGTAGTATTTCTGTACCAATCAGCAAATTTAATATAAACATGGATATCATAAAAATAATCAGAGTTCATGTAATATGATGATCTATACCTTGAGAAGTTAATTTTAAAATTATATCTGTTGTGACATCCAAAGACTAATAAAAACCTTTGGAGTAGTTATTTGCAAGAGTGTCCCAGCATTTTGTCTTCTGAGTTCTTTTTGTGCATACTATTGCAGGTATCATGCAAAGTTTAAATTTGTATTGGGATTTGTCTCAGACTGTTGATACTGAATGGCTTGATTTAGCATCAATCTACCAATGAAGCTGTGCCTATGCTGAGGACTCTGCTTTCCAAACCTAAACACTCAAATTTCAAATACGGTAAAGCAATATAAAGTGCTACGTTTAATAAAATTGGCTTCTTGGACTCAAATAGTTCAGTAACTTCTGATATAGAGACAAATACAGACGTAAATCAAAAAAGAGGATACAGTAGATGGAAATACTCAGGTCAAGCATCATCTGCAGAGCCTCTGCCTACAGTGTCATAAAAAAATCCACAGACTTGATGTAATTCATGAGAAGTTTTTTTTTTCCTCTATAAAACTGATGTCAAGAGCATTTCTTCTCATAACAGTTGAAATCTGGAACTCTGTCACTCAGCTGTTGAAGATGAGTCAATGGAAAATTTCATCATCGATAGAATTTTGTTTGATAATGATATTAGAGTTATAGAACCAAAGATTGAGTTATGATATAGAGTAGCCAAAATTCTAAAACAATAAAAACAATCATTTAAAACAGACAGTAACTCCATTCATTAGTTAGACCAGGTTAACTGCACTCTGATTTGGCTAGGATGGATTTGCTTCCAGTCGGACTTGTCTGGTTGATGGTCTCGCTCCTGACAGTCCCATCTGGATGAAGGCTTTTGCCTGATTTTATACTTTGGCTGCATGGCAACTGCTCTGAACCAATCCACTTGGCTGTTTGATAACATTTTTGGAGAATTGTCAGTTTATTTCTGCAGCAAACTTAAACCAATCTTAAAACATAGGAGTCATGCATTCTTCTATGGATGTTAACTGTTGCCTTTGCAGACTCCGTGTAGCTGCACAAGATTCAGAACAGTTGCGAAAAGAGAGAATTTCTCTTGAAATGCAAATTGGTGAACTTCAGGAAAAATGTGCAAAGATGGAGGAAGAGAAATATGAGGCAATAGCCAAGGTTCGGGACAGCATGCAACTCCTTGAAGAAGCAAACTTACAGAAAGACCAGGTAAGATCGTACAGAAGTTTTTTGTTCGAGCTGCAAAGTGAATGCTTACAGAAGGGCTCTTTTAAATCTTATTGATAGGCTGAAAAAAGGTTGCATCTCATAAGTGCAACCATAATCTTTTGTATAGTTTATTTTCCTGGTTTTACATCATTTTTGAATGAGATGTGAACATTGTTGAGTGAAGTACAGTGAAAGCTGTTGGGCATGCACTGTATGGTGTCAGATATGACTTAGTTAGTAGCACTGTTCCCCGAGTCACAAGGTTTTGGATTCAAGTCCCTTTTCAGGACATCAATGCAGAAATCTCGGCTGTCACTCCAGCACAGTGGTGAGGGAGTCCTGCATGTGTTGGAGGACCTGTCTTTCAAATGAGAAATTGAACCAACAACCTGTCCACCATTTCAGAGGAATGTAAAAAAGTGTTAGTTCATGAGTTATCCCACTAGTATCTTGGCAAATACAGCCCTTAATCAACACCACACAAAATGTGCATTGTCTGGGCGTAAACACATTTCTGTTTATGGCTACATGCTATGCCCAAATGGGCTGTCACCATTTCCCACATTGCACCATTTCATTGGTTCTAAAGAGCTTTGACCCATCCTGTATTCATGGAAGATACTACGTAAATGGGAGTCTTTCTGTTTTGTTTATACAGTGTTTCTAATGTAGAAAACTTTTATAATAAGCCATACAGAGCTGTAAAGCAAATAAATAAATACTGAACTTAAAGAGAAGATATCAGAAGATCAACCAAATACTTGGTCAGAGATGTGAGTTTTAAAAATATGTGTTTAAAAATGATGTTCCTTTCAGATATGTATGGACAAAGGGAGTTATTTATAGAGTCATACAACACGGAAACAGAGCCTTGGTTGACATTGACAAGTTGGAACAAAGTTTCCCAAACTAAACTAGTCCAACTTGGCCCATATCCCTTTAAACCTTTCCTGTTCATGTACCTGTCCAAATATCTTTTAAATGTTGTAACTGTTGTTCATTCCACCAATGCCTGTGTGAAAAAGTTGCCCCTCAGGTCCCTTTTAAATTTTTCTCCACTCACCTTAAAAATATGCCCCCTAATTTTGAACTCCCTCACCCTAAGGAAAAGACCTTTATTATTCACCTTAGCTATGCCCCTCATGATTTTATAATCCTCTGTAAGTTTACCCCTCAACCTCCTACGCTCCAGTAGAAAAAGTGCAGCCTGTCCAGCCTCTCCTTATAATTCAAGCCCTCCAATCTCAGGAATATTTTGGTAAATCTTTTCTGAACTCTCTCTAATTTAATAATTGAAGAAGGTTCCTATAGTCAGGTGACCAGAACTGTACACAACTCTAAAAGTGACATCACCAATGTCCTGTACAGCCTCAACATGACTTCCCAGCTCCTATATTTAATGGTCTGAGCAATAAAAGCAAGCATGCTAAACGCCTTCTTAACCACCCTGTCTACCTGTGATGCAACTTTCAAGGAACTATGTACCTGAACCTCTAGGTCTGTCTGTTCGACAACACTACCCAGGGCCCACCATTAACTGTATAAGTCTTGCCCTTGTTTGTTTTACCAAAATGCAATACCTCGCATTTATCCAATTAAACTCCATCTGCCATTTCTTAGCCCTTTGGCCCAGTTGATCAAGATCCCTTTGTAATCTTAGATAACCTTCTTCACTGTAGACTACATGCTTAATCTGGTTCAGCCTCTGACAGTGACCGGGGAAGAGATGGAGTTGATAGGGGGAGCAGAGTTTTTGATGGTCCTTCTAATATTTAATTAAAGGAAGGTTCTGTTTTTCCAACACTGGAATTTAGGTATTCACAATGCCAAAATTAGTCAATGGAGAGTCAAAAGAAATGGTGGGAAAGTAGAACTTTAAATCATCAGGACATATGTAGAAATTAATGTACGTTTACATAATGCTGTAAAAGGGCATGACTTTGATGAGAAATAGGGGGGAGCCAAGGATAGATCATTGAGAGACTCCAGAACTAACAGTATAAGAATGAACGAAAGCCATTGTGGGAGATTTTCTGGTTAAAACTGTACAGATTAGAAATCACAATTCAGATGTATCCTTTAAAACATTGAGTAGACTGTGTATTTAGAGCTAATGTCATAATGTACTGTAAGTTGACTCTTTAAAGATGGCTTTCTCTATGTAATTAGCAATGTTGAAGGGCATTAAAATGGAAAATTGATCAAATATATAAAATAACTCTCCAAAGAACTTTGCAGGAAGAAACTTGGACGCAGAGAGCTCTACACATTGAATGCTTTTCTGCTCATTTCCATGTGTCATTTTGTTAACCTACATGAATGTTACACTGCTGTAATCCTTGAAACCAGAAAAGATTCATCTGAGTTTTTCCCAGAACTACAAAAGACCTTGCATTGTGAATGTTTTCATTTTAATTTCTGTTGGTATGATCTTCACATTTAGCCCTTCAAAAACCCACATGAGCATTGACTTCAAAAATGTTAAATTATACGTATTGAAAAAATAATTTGAGTACTAATGCATTAGAGGTTTTTGTGTAATATTCATGATTTTTCCACAACATGTATAATTTGACATTTTCTGTCTGGGAACTTGTAGATAAACCAATGTTAATTGTTTAATCTGAGATTAGGTATACTTTTGGTGTTTTATGCTAAGTACATTGCGCAGGATATTTGCTATCAAGGCAGTAAGCTCGATCAGCAGACTCTTAACCTTTTAAAAATCAAAAAATCTTAAAAAAATTAAAAGCTTTCTTAAAAACTTTCAAAACAAAGCCCTTAAAAGCCATATTTACCTTGTGGCGAGGTGGTGGTAGAATGGAGTCAGACCTCCTGCCTTTGGTGGTGCCCGTAGTTAGGTCAGTGCTGAAGTAGATCAGTCAAATGACCTACCTCAATTGTTTGAGACTTCAGCCCATTTTAATAAAAGGCTGATTGGTCCTCTAGCCTCTACCCAATGTCCCTTTATACCTCCATAGCCACTCACTGAACATCCTCTCTGGACAGACACCAAAAAACCATGTAGAGATAAAAAAATACAATTAAACTTCTAGCAATCTAAGAGAACTCTTACTTTTATATAGTTGTTACTGGGAAGACTGAAGCCATAGTTTGCAGTTCCTGCTCCAAACTTGCAGCTATGGAACCCATTCCTCTCCAAGGAAACAGTATGAGATTAGAACATAAGAATCAGGGGCAGGAGTAGACCATCTGGCCCTTCGAGCCCACTCCACCATTCAATAAAGATTGGGAAAACTTTAAAGGTCAACAGAGAGCCACAAAAAAGCTATAAGAAAAGTAAGATAGATTATGAAAGTAAACTAGCTCAAAATATAAAGACGGAGAGTTAAAGTTTCTACAAGTCAGCCTGCTCAAAACTTTGGTGTCCGATTTTATCCCAAGGTGAATTTCTGATCTCATATTTACATCAGTACTAAGATCCTCTGTTTCCACTTCTGTAACATCTCTCAACCTTTGACTCTATGTCTCTATGACTTTTCCCTGTTTTAACCTATATGCTGCTAAATTCTCTTTCATGCCTTTTTGTTCTAGTCGTGACAATTCTAGACCATCCAAGCTGGTCTTCCTGCGCGCAAAGGCACCCTCTGCCCCGGCCCCCATAAATATGAGGTCATTCAAATCTCTGCTGCCCTGGCAGAACTTTCAGCAAGTCCTGTTCCTATGTCACACTTGTGCTCCCTGATCTACATTGGCTCCAGGTCAAGCATCTTGATTTTAAAACTCGCATTCTTGTTTTACAAATTTCTCTGTGGCCATGCACCTCCCTAGCTATGTAACCTCCTCTATCCCTCTGAGATATCTGCGCTTCTCTAAATCTGTCCTCTCGTGCATTTCAAATTAATATTTAAAATTAGTATTTAAAAAATTCTCCAAGTTTGTGGATTTTCCATTTGCAAATCCACGCTGATTACACCCAATAGGATCATATTTACCCAAGATTTCATTTATCACATCCTTCATGACAGCTTCTACCATTTTTCCTACTACTGATGTGAGGCTGATGAGTCAAAGGGTTTGTCTGGGATTTGAATCCAGGATGTCTTACACACTCATCCCTAAATATCCCTAAATGAGAGCAATATCCCTAATCCAATGAGCAGGCTGCCTTGCAGCACTTCTTTTCTTCCTTCAGTACACTTCTTAAAACATACATCTTTGTCCAAGCTTTAAGTGATCTGACCTAATATCCCCTTATGTGCTTAGTGTCATACTGTTTTGTAATGCCCTTGATAAATGATTCAGGACTTTTTAGTAAATTAAAGGCACTGTGTAAATATAAATTCTTGCTGTCTTCTGACTTTACTTTTAGAATACATTTGTTTGCATTTACTTTGAGATCAGTTTATTATATTGGACTATTCCCTTGATTTGCTTTAAATTAGTAGAGAATTGTACTTACTTTTACTTCACTTTATGGAATTCAGACCTATCGTTTAGCAGCAGTTGAAAATAGTAGAATTTGTATTTCATTCAGCTGGTCAATCAGAAATAACAATACTAAAGTAACCCCTTCTCGATGATTTCCTTTTCCCATTTTTGCAAACCCTCCAGGTTTTACTACGTGAAAAACAAAAGGATGAGGAAGTGGCAAAAATGAAGGAAGCCATGGTGCAGCTTGTTCAAGAAGCTGCAGTTCGGACAAGAAAGGAGGTTGAATTAGATAAACTGCTGTGCATTTTAACTTATGCTCTGGAAGATTTAAACATGTGACACTAACCTAATGTTCAATATTTTCAGCTAAGACAAAATGGAAAATGTCCTGAGTATTTTAGTACCTTAAAGTGTTTCTTTGAATACTTTGTTTTTAAGTTACGTTATTTTTTAAGTCTTTCAACTTCTGTGCTTTGTCAGTGATATTGAAAGCCGTGTGTTAGAAGGAATATGTGAATAGCCTAGGATTGATTTTTTTTTAATTATCCCTTACTGTCACGTGAGCATTCTTTTCACTGCTGTCACCAATAGAATGACCGCAGTTGCAAACTTTCTGGCCTGAACTTTCTGCATGATTTTCACCAGACTTCTACGTAATCTGGGCAGAAATGAAACAAAATAGTGCAAAACATCACAACGTTCATTGCAAGTATTGCTCTAAAATTAATTTTTAAGCCTGGAGCACTGTTGATTTTTCTTTTGCACTTCAAAAGTCCCTATACTAGAAAATCTCTGCCCACAAATGTAGCCATGTATCCAGGCAAGACAAATTTCTGCTGATATGTCTGTTCTGGGGTGCTTATCAAATTGTGCCCAGATTCTCAGGTAAACAGTAGCTGAGATAACATGAATTCAGTATTATTCACCCTGGTCAGCTGTCAATTGAAGCTACTAGTCCAGGACTGTTTAGAGTCACAGAAGTATATGGCACAGAAAGAGACCCTTTGGTCAAACTCATCCATGCAGACCAAATATCCAAATTAATCTAGTCCCATTTGCCAGCATTTGGCCCATATCCCTCTAAGCCTGAATAAAAACCGAAAGAATTGCGGATGCTGTAAATCAGGAACAAAAACAAAGTTGCTGGAAAAGCTCAGCAGTCCTGGTAGCATCTGGAAAGGAGAAAACAGAGTTAACATTTCGGGTCCGGTGACCCTTCCAGGCAACACCTGCCCATTCACCTCCTCCCTCCCCAGTATCCAAGGGCCCAAACATACCTTCCAGGTGAAGCAACACTTCACCTGCACTTCCCAGAATCTAGTCTACTGCATTCGCTGCTCACAATGTGGTCTCCTCTGCACTGGGGAAACGAAGTGTAGACTTGGCGACCGCTTCGCAGAACATCTACGTTCTGCTCGCAGAAAAGACCCTGAACTACCTGTTGCCTGCCACTTCAATGCTACACCCTGCTCCCTGGCCAATATCTCTGTCTCTGGCTTGCTGCAGTGTTCCAATGAAGCCCAATGCAAACTGAGGAACAACACCTCATTTTCCGCTTGGGGACCCGATAGCCCTTTGGACTCAATATTGAGTCCAATAATTTTAGGGCCTGAACTCTCCCATGTCCCAGCCCCCTACCCCACACACAAGGCCTTGTTACCACATAGCCTGCCATTACACATCCCCTATTGTTAGTCATTAAGAGTCCCCATTAACAACTATTCACCCTCCCAGCCTGATCGTTAGCAACTCCTTTGTCTGTCCAACTGTCTTTCTCTCTCTTTGGGCTCTATCCTATCGTTTACTCCCTACCCCACCCACCTCCCTATTTTCTGCATATAAACTGACATTTTCCCAGCCACCATCAGTTCTGAGGAAGGGTCACCGGACCCAAAACGTTAACTCTGTTTTCTCCTTCACAGATGCCGCCAGACCTGCTGAGCTTTTCCAGCAACTTTGTTTTTTTTTCCCTCTAAACCCTTCCTTTTTATATACCCATCCAGATGCCTTTTAAATGTTATAATTGTACCAGCCTCCACCACTTCCTCTGGCAGTTCATTCCATATATGCACCACCCTCTGCGTGAAAAAGTTGCCCCTTAAGTACTATTTAAATCTTTCCCCTCGCACCTTAAATCTATGCTGTCTAGTTTTGGACTCCCCCACCCTGGGAAAACGAGTTTGACTATTCACCCTATCGATGCTCCTCATTCTGCTGCTGCGACAATTACCTCAAGTTCAATAACTTGACCTTTCCTTGATACTGAAGATTTGTGAGAGATAGTTCTAATCATCGTGTTTGGAAATGCTATTGCACCTCTGGAACAGGTAGGACTTGAACACAGGCGACTGAAGATGTGTGAGATCAGCAGTCAGTTGAAGACTTTACAGGCGCGTCCTGCTCTGCTGTTTAATTTATATATTTATAATTTATAACTGAAGAGAGCAGTGACTAACAATTGGTTGAAGCCACTTGCAAAATAAGACCAAAAGCATTAAATCAGTCAATTGAAAAGCAACACCATTTTGCTTTGCGATGAAGGACAGTGACCTGTTCCTGTCATGATCACTTATGATTGATTACACTGATTTGTGAGATTTTACATTCAGGGTCATGTCAAGCAGTGGGATTGGAATTTCTGTGGGAATTTCTGAAGAAGGTCTAGACCTGAAACATCAGCCTTCCTGCTCCTCTGATGCTGCTTGGCCTGCTGTGTTCATCCAGCTTTACACCTTGTTATCTCAGTGGGATTGGAAACTTTATTTTGTCAAATGGATTTTCCAGTGGATTATGGGGGCAATTTGCTCATTGTATCTACCAATGGAGGTTAAATTTAGGCATTAATACAAACTATTCTTCAGTACTGATAGAATGTATCATTCAATAGTTGATCTTTTAGAGTTAACTATGAAAATGTAAATTGATTCAAGTTTAATTAGAGAATTATCTGAAGACATGTTCACTTTATATAGTGTTTGCTAAAATAAAAAGAGATTAAAATCTTGGTATTTTTAAGAAGATTAAATCCCATGAGTGAGATAAAAACATGCCTTTTCTTTCCGTTGCAGGTTGAAAATGTTAGGAAACAGAGCAACGTACAGATTGCCCGTTTAGCTGAGGAACTGTCTGATATGCAAATGGTATGTGGGCATACCTGCTATTCGGAAACAGTAAACTGAGGCAAAAGCAGCTGCTGTTGATCTAGTATTGATGCAATTTTCCATTTATTTCAAACATAAATATTCTCCTCCTTGGTTCAAATTCACTGATGAAAAATATATTAAGCAATCCTTTTGCAAAGGCAATTGTAGCACTTTCCATGTTGAAACGTATCCAAAGACATCCACTGAAGCATCATAGAAAAATGGATGCTAGAAGGAGCTATTAGGGGGAGTGATTGAAAGTTTGGTCAGAGGTGTTTCAGGGAAACATATAAATTAGGAAAGGAAGATAACAAGGCATGGAGTTTTGGGAAATAGGACAGTGTATGGGTATGGCTGCTACCGGAAATGTGAAGGAAGAGGGGATATACACAAAAGGCTAAGCCCAGAGGAACAGTATATTCACGGCTGTGGAGAAGCAGGATTTTAATGCTGCAAGATGGTCAATAAGTGGAATCTGAGGTGGCTGGAATTAAAGGTATGGTAGAATTTAATTGTATAAGAGTGCATTTTAAATCTGAGCCATGAATAGATCTAACTGTTAAGGCTACAGAGGAATTTGTGTTTGAAGATTTCGTACTTGAGTAACAGTGGGGGCTAAGTGACATCATGGACGGCAGCAGTGGTGAGTAGGGCAGTACAGGGGAAGATCTAAACAGGAGATTTTTGGATGAGGTCTCCCTCCATCCCATCCCCTCCAGCTCCCCAGAAGAAAAGACACTTGGAAACGAACTGACTTTTAAAAAGCCTGCCATGTAACACTGTGGTGGTCTTAACAATCCAAGGGTCAGACTTCTGGCCCTCAGTGGAAGGAATTCCCTCCCTCAGTCTCACTCCCAACTCTGATGGGAGCTGCTGGAACTGCATTTAGGCCCATGAAAATCAAGTATGTTCCCTAGACCCCAGGTAGCTATGGGCTGTTTTGGCGTGGAGATGTATTGGGAACCCTAGGGCAAGGGGTGAGGAACTAAGTTTTGAAAGTCAGGCAGAGAAGCACTAAATGGGGATGCAGTTTTGGAGAGGCTGCCCCTGATGCACACAGAGTACTCCTCAAAAGATGTATCCACTCCTCCTTCCTATTTTATCACCATTTTGGGTGAAAAACCAGCCTTCCCACCTTGTACACCTTCCACTGCCTGCATAATACGCAGTAGAGATAGACTGAGGGTCTTAAGTGGACACTATTCGGCACCTTAGTCCTAACGTGGGCAGACTTACTGTTCACCCCGCCTACCGTGGTGACTGAGTCAGAATTGGTGGGCTAGGCACCTGACATATTTTACATGCCACCCTGCAAAAAACACCACTAGCAGAAGGATGTAAAATCAAGCCCTTGAGGTTTCAACGGCAGGTTTGCTTTGTAGGTGTAGAGGCAGACAATATTATAGAAACGGTTGTTTCATGATGGCTCATGCACTCTCAGTACAAATTTAGAGAGATTAGAAACCAATGATTACAATGTCTCTTATAAAAAGATGTTGTCTGTTCCTTCTGTGAATGTGTCATTGTTTATTTTTATTACTGGGAAATGAAATTATATAGTACTCAAGTGATGAGATAGTTTGGCAGTTATTTTATGGTACTAACAGTATTATCCATGCTCTACTACTGCAGGAAATCATTTATCTTGTGTTTTAAGGAGTAAAATAATGAGAAAATGTTTGACTTTTGCTGTTACTGAGTTCAAGGTGTATTGGTTTTCTCTTAAAACCAGTATCTTATATTATCAAATGTGAGATGTTGCTATAGATTTCTATGATTTGTCAATCCACCACTGGAAATACTCTGATTCGCAAGAAAGAAATACTGATCAGCCGGCCAATATGAACCAACACAGACAAAACAAATATTCAATTTATTGTGGTCTAGTCACCAGTCTGTAGTGTTGTATTGTACCTTGGATAAGGTGCCAAATGTTCGTGGTGTCCCACAAACTGACATTTCTTTTAAACAACAGGCTTAATTTCCTCTCAATTACACATTTTTACTGTAATATATATATCCTCTGTAATAGATCTGTGGCGATAGACAAGGACAAATTGAAAGGATCATAAGGGAGAAGCGAGCTCTAGAAGAGGAACTTGAAAAGGTAAAACAAATCAAACCGTAATATATTTTATTAAATCATTTTCTTGATTTTTGCACATTTGCAATGCTTCTTTCTCCAATCTCATTTTCTGTCTTTACTAGCAATAAACTGGACTGAGTTAAAGGGATGGAACTTGCAAGTCGGGTGGACTGTATATACTTTTTGTGGCTTTGTCTTGATGGCACACAAGTGACATATATTATCGGTTTCTTCTCTATGGATTAACAGCTTGTATATTTGAGACTCTCTTCTTTTATATTGAGTACTTTTGCATTCTTGTATTTTGTATTCCTGCAGTGTCCTCTTGTAAAATGCCTGCTCAACATTGCCTTAATAATAAGGGGGTGAATGGAATAGAGAAGCAAAAGGATATAGCAGTACAAACGCACGTACTAAAAGTAGTACTAAAAGTAATGTCGAATCAGAGATAGTAGGAACTGCAGATGCTGGAGAATCCGAGACAACAAGGTGCAGGGCTGGATGAACACAGCAGGCCAAGCAGCATCATAGGAGCAGAGAGGCTGACGTTTCGGGCCTAGACGGAGGGGAAGGGGGTTTTGAAATAAATAGGGAGAGAGTGGGAGGCGGATAGAGGAGAGGATAGGTGGAGAGGAAACAAACAGGTCGAAGAGGCGGGGATGGGGCCAGGAAGGGTGAGTGTAGGTAGGGAGTTAGGAAGGGGATAGGTCAGTCCAGGGAGGACGGACAGGTCAAGGGGGCGGGATGAGGTTGGTCGGTAGGAGATGGAGGTGCGGCTTGAGGTGGGAGGAGGGGATAGGTGGGAGGAAGAACAGGTTAGGGAGGCAGGGACGAGTTGGACTGGTTTTGGGATGCGGTGGGGGGAGGGGAGATTTTGAAACTTGTGAAATCCACATTGATACCATTGGGCTGCAGGGTTCC